TATATATATATATAAACAAAAACAAAAAAACAAAGGAAGGAATTGATCGTCATATATACCCTTCGTATACTTCCACCTATAAAAAACTATTGACATCAAATTATATCCCTGTCAAAATTAAATTTTTGCTCGAGATTTTTTTCTTTATCACCAATAGTTTTGAAGATATTTGCATGCATCATTTAAAATGGGACACCCTGCACACACATTCTACAGGGTGTTCTATTTGATTTTTAATGTCCAAATGTCTTGAAAAGATGGATTTTTTTGAAAAATGTTTTAATCTCTAAAGTTATTTAATTTCAAGAGAATACACGTACAATGCTGCAATTTTATGTTAGTTTGACCTTCCGCGATTTTTCCAAGATCAGTTACGTCAGGTTATTTAGATTTTTTAAAATAATTTCTCACTTTTTATTTAATATGACACATTGAAGCATTTTTAAAATATAATAAATAAAAAGAATATATATATTACATAATTTCAAACGAAAAATATATATCACATAGTTTCGAGCAAAGAAAATCAATCAATTTTTCTTGAAAATAAAATCACGTTTCATTGTTTGCTTGTATATTGTACAATGTAAAATTTATTGTACTATGTAAAAGTGGTAACTAAATCTCGCATCATGCTGAGTTATTTCCTTTGCGGCACGATAAATGAGAAATCAATCAGCGATTAAGGCATTTGTGTATTATACCAACTATGTATTTAACCTGTTAACCATTATTTCATTATTACTATTTTTTATTGTTTCCTTAAAACTAAGTAACTTTTGTTTGAAACATTTGTTTAGAAAAAGTCCATCTTATTAAGATATTTGAGTGTCGAAAATAAAATGTGAGATATATTGTATGTGGATGTGTGTATAATATGTGTATATGTGAGTTCGTGCGTGCGCGCATATGTATATATTTAAGAATGTATGTATGCGTGTGCGTGCATATATATGTATGTGTACACATATATGTATATATGTTGCACATGTAGGTATGTGTGTGTGCGCGCGAGCGTGTTTTAGCTAAGAACAATCCATATAATGTATGTTTATATGCATATGTCCCTGACCATTTTATTCATGTTTACGCAGTTTTATATCCAACTGATCCCGAATATTTAATATAACACATTAAGAAATATACATTAATGTCCTATGGATGAGTTTCTTTTTCCAGCTCTCCTCTTTGCTCAGTGGGCAAAATTGGGAGTGGAGAACCTTTCCGAAAATTACAATGATTGTGTGGTCTAATTGGTTAGGGGTATATATTGCCCAATTGGTTAATTCTCGTTAGACAATGACAATTTTTGTAACAAAATTTTGGAAAATGTTAGGCTTAAAATTTGTTTACAGGAGTACATGATACGTGAAAGGCCGGTTTCCTATATTGTGAAGATTCGAGCGACAAAGACATGCCACTTTCTCGCTTTCGTGGATCCGCACTATATTGTTAATACTGATTGTATTCTAAATTGCACATTTAAAAAAAATTTCTTTTCAAATTTCGCCATCTCTGCCGTAATTATCTTAAAAATCACGAAACTCATTGGAACAAAATTAGGCATGTGTATGTTTTCTTCATCCCACAGCTCGATAATCACGAAATAAAACCCGGCAAGAGTCTGAAAGTAAACATTAGCGTTCCTAATCTACGACTTTTCGTGGGAAACATACCAAAGTCAAAAGGCAAAGAGGAGATCTTGGAGGAATTTGGTAAATTAACAGGTAAAGTGAATTCGAGGCGTGTGTACCTACCTACCTATTACCTACCTGTCTACCTGTATTGTATAACTTAAGAGTGGTAGTTTTTTAAGTAGTGGTTGTAGATGGTATGGAACTATGGAGCATCCAAGGATCATATTGACTCCATAATCTGCGAATACACCTTATGGCACCTTTAGTTCTGGTCTCCTTGCCTCTCGGTTTATTAGTGAACAGTAACACCTCTCTGGTCCAAGTCTTCTTTTCCTCACATATTTAGGTTGAGTTATGAACTTATCTGCTTCCTACTCTATACATGCGATTATCTTATTATCCCTCTGCTTTCCCGTTCCTGATTTTGTGTAATTGATCAATCAATCTTTATTACTGATATTACTTCTTCGTCTTCTTTTTTTTTTAAGTGAAAAAGAGACGAGGAGATGGAAAGAGAAAATGTGGAAGTTATATTTTTAGATTGTTTTACACACACATATATTGACAGAAAAATATATGCTGTCTTGCACCATTGCAATTTTGCAATATGCAAATGTGATTCATGACTAAGTCTCAAGCTTTGGGGGTATGGGAGATTTGCGTGGACCGCTGGGGCGTTTGGCTCGCTAACAAACGGACAGGCACTCCCACCCACTCTTATACGATATCGATCCTGGAACTATCATATGATCCACACGATCCTTTGAGAATCATACTTTTGATACTCTTATGTACCCCCCCCCCCCCCCCCGAAGGACGCTTCATGAAATCCCATGTTCAGACAGCCAATAAGCAGGTGAAATCATAAATGGCAAGCTTAATTGGCACTCTCCTTCCACATTATTCTTACAGCTGAATGATTATGAGATTCGGAAAGGGAAAAAGATTGGTGTTACCGTATCATATAACAATCATCGCTTGTTTGTGGGAAATATTCCAAAGAATCGAGACCGAGATGACTTGTTCGAAGAGTTTACAAAGCACGCACGTAAGTTGACAATTGTCCTTAAATCAGCGAGCAGTAACCAATGGAAGTTCTATGGGAGAGATGATGGAACAAAAATTTCTTATAACGAATCACGTGTTTTTTTAGCAGAGACATGTCAGGTGGGTTAAATCCAACCCTCTTGCATAAATGTGAAAAAAATTTTGTAATGAATTTCGGAAAAAACAAGTTTTATTATTCATTTTCGGAAATTATCAAATATTTGGTAACACTAACGAATTTATTTATAAGCCAAATGTGAACTCTTCATCGTGTGATTCTTTTATTTTTTATTTTCAATTAATTCTCGTTTGTAAAGTTTACGTCGTTGCAACAAATAGATAATCGTAATTAGGTATAATTGTATCTTATAACTCTAAATGAATTTGCTGCAATACTGTTAGGATCATTTGTCTGGCATATTTTTTCTTGCGCGCTTCTGTAGCATACAATATATTTATAATATGAATTTTTATATTTTATGCATTTTTTAGAAATTTTAGATATATTTTATTTCGAGACATAAAATTCGAAATTGAAGAGCAAATATAATTTTACAATAAGCAGTATCATCTCATGTGATTCTTTTATTTGCACATATTTATGAAAATTTTGAACAATTTATTTTCCTATTTATTTATTTATTATATTCTGAGATATATATCGCGAATATATATTAAATTTTTACAATATATTAAACATATAATATTATCATAGGAATATATATATCGCATTTCATGAATGAATAAATGTAAGTTTATTGTGACGTCTTCAGAGATAATGAATTTAATATAAAAAAACATACTGTTTGTATGATGTAAATATAAATGATAAAATAGAGAATGATCAGTGTGATTGAACGAGTGTGTCTGATAATCACTACATTTTGTATGTGTGTGCATAAGATTCTTGCATGTAACATCAGAATATGGACACAGAGAGGAGATTAATGGAAGAAAATAACAATGATAAAGACAAACGTCATTATTAAATTCATGAGGCACAGGAATGATATTTAGAAGTTAATTTTAAGAAGAATTCATATAATGGTACAAGGCATCTAAGTATTTTATTATTACACGTCATATATGATACAATAGATAGAAGAAAATTCATTCATTTATATTTCTAAAAATAAAATTTTTACATATACATCAAATACAATTAGTAGGTAATTATAAGGAATTTTAAAATATATTACATACATTTTATAAGTTTAATATATGTGAAATTAATGATTTGCTGTTTAGATTTGTTATTAGTAGTATGTATGAGATGCCTTGTTATCCAAATAGCTTCTAAACTGAGTTTCTAAACTGAGAGGAAGGAGAGAAGGACTGTGAGAAATATATTGAGAGAAATAAAAGTCTTCCCTTGGAAAGTGTCAAATGGTTTATGTTTGACAATTTCACAGTACTTTTGGAGAGGATCTGTCAATTTAGATTAGAATAAGATCAGAGACAGCGGAAAATACAAACGATATTGCCACATCTCAGGATTAGAAAGACAGAGAATAAACCATAATATTAGAGTGTCAATCTTTGCTCTATATATGATCGAGTTATTGCATGAGAATTCTAATAGCATGAGAATTCTACTTAATAATATAGTATTTATATGTCTTGAAATGATTAATTTTCAAATTTTTCAAATATCCAAATTCAGTAAAAGTAAAGAAGGTTTTAAACACATGTATATCAAAAGAGTGTTTTACAGAATTTAGAGCTTTCAATCTTTCTCTTTGTAGTTATTAATAACATCTTTGCATTTTTCTGTTCTTTTAATCTTGGTTATCTGTAGCTTTTTATTCGAAATTTTATTGTGACACAGGTTGCGAGCAGTTGGTGAAGTAATATCTCTTTTATTTTTATTTATTTTATACTTAATCCCTGAATAGTTTGTTTATCAGTAAAACTATTTGATTAATTTATTTCTTTTTTGTTTTTTGTTTTTTTGATTTTTTGTTTTTTTTTTTTAATTTGTTTATCTTTTTTTTAGATTTTAATTATATTAGTTTTTAAAAAATGTGCAAAAAATATAAGATAAGAAATATTATGTCTGCGAATAATAAAATAGAAACATTAATAATTAAAAAAAATATCTTAAGAAAATAAAATAACAATCTCGTGTTTTGGAGATACATACAACCAAGTGCTGCATAGATATCTTGCAAATTGAGTAATATTGTGTCTGACTGATGCAATCTTTTATTATATTATTTTTTCATTTTCAGTTTACTGACAAGCAATATTTTTTCCATTATATATAAAAAAGAACATATAAAAATACAGTTATCGGAAATTAAAAGTCATTTATTATAATATCTATATGTTCTTATAATTAAACTTTTATGTATGAGTAATTATTATTAATCGAAGTATAATAATTGTATTTGATAAAAAAATGAATATTATGATTTAATTCTGATACATATTATATAAATATTTAAGAATATTCAAGATAATGTGATTAATGTATCTACAACGAGACTATAATGCAAATCTCTAGCTTACGGTAACCATCGTATATGAAAACGTAATAGTTGCTTAGATCTCTATATTTTGTTTTTGCAAAATTTCTATTCTTTATTACATAGTAGCAATCCTTAAAATTTGTGATTGCCGATCAAATTTCGAGCGAATCTCATCCGCTTCTCGTATGATTCTTTTTCCGATATATAGCTGGCCTGACGGAGGTGATTATCTACAGCTCACCAGATGACAAAAAGAAGAATAGAGGTTTTTGCTTTTTGGAATACGAATCTCACAAAGCAGCTTCCTTAGCCAAGCGAAGGTTGAGTACTGGACGTATCAAGGTTTGGGGATGTGATATTATTGTTGATTGGGCCGATCCTCAAGAGGAACCAGACGAACAGACTATGTCCAAAGTAAAGAATGATACAATTTAGTTTAATTATTCTTATAATTATGCTATTTTATAGTCTTTATTGGTTATGCTACATGTTAAATTGTAACACAAATTACTCTGTTTTAGGTACGTGTGCTTTACGTACGAAATTTAACGCAAGATTGTTCTGAGGAGAAGTTGAAAGAAAGTTTCGAACAATATGGCAAAATTGAGCGAGTGAAGAAAATCAAGGATTACGCCTTTATACATTTTGAAGATAGAGATAATGCTGTTAAGGTAAGATATATTCTAATAATATTGTTTTTGATTTGATAACCTTTATATTAAAAATTCATTTTTAATGTAAATTGTTAATATATATATATTATATATATATGTGCTTTTTTTAAGGCAATGAATGAATTAAATGGCAAAGAAATGGGTGGATCTCACATAGAAGTTTCGTTGGCAAAACCACCATCTGATAAAAAGAAGAAAGAAGAAATGCTGCGCGCTAGGGAGAGACGAATGATGCAAATGTTACAGGGTAGAGGCGGGTAAGTTATTGCGACTGATATTTATTTTTAATTTATTATTTGCGCAACGTTTTTTTTATTATATTGCTGTTTATTATACTACTTTCGTTACATTATGATTACTCTATTCGACATTTTTTATTTATAGAAATATAAATAAAATGGTATCATATAGTTCTCCTTTTTACAGTGGATCTCCATCTCACCCGAGCATGATGGGAGGACCAATGCCAGTTCGTGGACCTGCACAGGGACCTCGGGGTACCGGCGCAGGTATGCGTGGACAGATGGGACGAGGCGATTACGGTTAGTACCAATTTTTTTCTCTTTTTTTGTTGTTTATTGCTTCGCGTATTTCTTAAGAATATATTCTTGCAACTTTGATTTTATGGCAAAATAAAAATTTTAGTAATTTTTTATAAATGTCACGTATATATATATA